TGAAAAGTTATCCAGCCTAACACCTACATCTTACAGATGAAGAAACTGAAACCTAGAAAGAAGTGATATTGTAAAAATCAACAAACCAATGAACTAAAAACAAACAAACAACCCACCAGAAAATACAAGAATAAATGGATCTATTCTTAACATCATAAATGAGATATATCTGAAACCAAGAGCCAATGTTATAAGTAATGGTGATAAATTAGAGTCTTTTACAATAAGATGACAGATAAAGCAAGAATGTCCCCAATACAATAAATATGAAAATACTATAAACATGAATTTACTTATTCATTGCCATGCCAATCAAATAGTATTTTGTAGAATTAAAAAATAATCATGAAATTAATCTGGAGGAACAAAAGGTCAAGAATCTTGAGGGAAATAATTATTAAATAGTGGGAAGGAAGTTTAATTGTACCATATCTCAAACTACAAAACAATATCTATCAAAGCAGTTTGGTACTGATTAAAAAATAGATCTATCAGAGCAACAGGTTAAGTGCAGAACACAGTGAGGCAAATGAACCTAGAAGCCTACTATTTGGTAAGCCCAAAGACCCCAGTTATTGGTGTCAAGACTCACTATTTGGCAAAATCAACAGGGAAAACTGGGCATGGTCCAGCAGAAATTAGGTTTAGATCAACACCTCACACCATGTACCAAGATAAGCTCCAAATGAATATATGACCTATGCATAAAGGGTGACCTCAAAAACTGATTAGTGGAGCAAGGATGAAATTACCTTTCATATCTATGGATACAACAAAAATCAATGAGCAAACATGGATCTATAGAGGAGCAAAGAAGATAAACAATTCAGATTGCACAAAATTTAAAATATTTTGTACAAACAAATCCAATATATCTAACCTTAGAAGGAAGTTGACTGGGGAAATATTTGCAACAAATTTCTTTGGTTAGGGTCTTATTTCTAAGATATATAAGGAACTGATTCAAATTTATAAGAATGATAGTTATTTACCAATTGATAAATGGTCAAAGCATATGAAAAGGTAGTTTGCAAGGGATGAAATCTGTGATGTCTTCAGCCATATGAACAAACTCTCCAAATCAATAATAATTAGAGAAATGCAAATTAAACAACTTTGAGATTTCACCTCACACCCACCAGATAGGCAAATTTAACAAACAACAAAAAAAAGGAAAATGACATGTTGGAAGGGTTGCAGGAAAACAGGCACATTGATATGTATTGGTGGAAGTGTAAATTGGACCAGACATTCTAGAAAGCAATTTGGAACTGTGCCCTCCCCAAATTACTAAACTGTGCATATCTTTTGACCCAGTAATACCGTTGTTAGGTCTGTACTTCAGAGAGATCAACAAAGAGCAAAAGCTCCCATGTGCACAAGAAATATTTATAGGAGCTCTTTTCATAATGGAAAATACCTGGAAAATAATGAGTTACCTATTTATTAAGGAGTGGATGAGACAATTATGGTATGTGGATGTATGAAAAGAGAGACCGTTTCAGAGAAAACTTAGAAAATTTGTGTGAACTGATGCAGGGTGAAGTGAGCAGAGCTAGAAAACTATTGTATAGTATATAACATCAACATTCCAAAAAGGAACCATTTTGAAAACTTAAAAACTTTGGTTAACGCAATGATCATCCATAATTACAGAAGATTAGTGATGAAAAATGCTACCTATCTCCTGACATAGAGATGATGGACTAATGTATAGAATGAATTTACATTTGTGGACATGGACAAATGGGAATTTGTCTTGACTATGCTGCTTTGTTAAACAGGTTTTGTTTTGTTTTATTTTTCTAGGGGGAAGGGGAGGGCTTGGTGTTGGGGAAAAAGTAACTGATGGTTTACAAATTTTTATTTAAAAATGAATAAGTGACTTGCTGAGCATTATGCAATATGTGATAGCACTAAGACTATAATCTTTTAATTCATTACTTGGTTGGCTGTTTCATCCTACACCAGTCTCATAGTTAATATGCATTCATGACACAGCTACTACTGAGAGGTACCAAGGACAGCTCCTACACAGGTTTTAAAGTGGATCTTGATTTTAAGGTATCATAAGACTCCCCCCTTACTTTTCTTTTTAAATGGAAACAGAAGACTGTAATTCTTTAATGTATTTATTATACAATGCTGTACAATATAATTATCATTACTAGTGTCTCATCCCTCTCTTTAACTGATAACAACATGAATAATAACAATATGCCCGTATGCAGGTACAGAACTTTGTAGGTTTAATAGCCCATTCACAAATATGTGCTTATCAGAACAGTCCTCTGAGGTAAGCAGAAGAGGTATTATTATTTCTGTTTTACAAATGAGGAAAGTGAGGTTCAAAGTAACTTGCCCAAGGTCACATACAACAGAAAGTGACACAACTGAAATTAGAATTAATTTCTTCATCTGTCTAGTCTGGCTCATTTTCCATTTTACCAAACTGCCCTAAATCCAAAGACCTAGAATGATTGCTATTGCTTCTTCTCTGAACCCCTAGACTGAGGTAAACTCAGTTTACTCAATTGAACCAAAAAAAATTTTTTTTTTTTTGCTTTAACTCTTAGTGAACATGCTGGAACTTAAACTACTCCTATCTATTTTCTAAAAACCCTTGAGCTGGGAAACAACTCAATGCATCAGTTCTCCAAATGGAACCTGACCTTAATAATTAATCCATTTTGAACTTTTGCACTGAACTAGAATCATAGGCTCTTGGAATTAGAAAGGAAAGGTCCAAAGCTTTATCTAGTCTAATGTCCTTGCCTTAGTAGGAGCTAGGTGACTCAAATGATACTCTTAGCCTTATTTACAATAAATTAATAACAAGGTCATCTATAACTTTCAAGTTTACAAAGGGCTTTCCTCACAATCATGATGTGAGGTAGTTAGTGCAAAGATTCTCTACCATTTCACAGATGAGAGAACTGAGACTCAGTGAGATGAAATGAGTTGCCTATGATTCCCATGGTTATTAAGTTTAAGAGCTTGGATTTGAATCCAGGTCTCTTAACTCCAAGTTCAGGATTCATTCAATTGTTCTGGATTATAGGATTGTAGTTTTCTGTAGTATTTTAGATATGAAAGAATTATAAAGATCAACTAGGTTGATTCCCTCATTTTACAGATGAGAAATCTCTGTGGTCCAGAGAAGTTGTTACTTGCCCAAGGGTACACAGGGAGTCAGTGATAAAGATAGTATTTGAGCTAAGATCTTCAAAATCCATATTTAACACTCTTTACATTATGTTCTGCTGCCCAGCAAGTGCCTTTGTTAACCCTTTGACAAAATGGGGCTATTATCCCACATCTTTTCTCATTTTCATTATGTGAAATTTTCTTAAACAAAAATAAAAATGAGTGAAGACAAAAACAATTTAATGGATATGCAGTTAGTCTGAATCATTTGGAGGGAAGCCTTCTCTTCAATTCATGGTATCCTGATTTTGGTTGGTATGCTTGCTTTGATCAGAAAGTTTCATATTACAGAATTATTATACCCTCTCAAAGAAAGTCTAGCTACATGTTAATTTATCCACTAGGCAAATATCTTTTGCGTAATAAAAGTGCTTGCTTAGGAAGCTTCATACCCAGTAGCAATTAATTATTGACAGAGCATGTGAATTAGAGATAAAAGAAAAGTCATTCTTTCCTTGCTCACCAGATAGTAAATAAATTTAATTATGGTAGGAGAAGCTGGGGGATCTTCTTTCATATTAAGTTTTATTAGTTGAGACATTTAAAAGCATGTCATCATAACAAAAAGGTCTTGTGTAATCCTAAATGTACCACTTTGGTGCAGGGCTTAGAAGTGAATAGACTTAATTGAGCAAATGGTAGCAGATGGCCTGCTGTACAGACAGGTATTGTACAGGTTTATTGTCAATTAACTTTTGTCTACATATGCCTATGGCAAATTGACTGTATAATATGTTACTGAGCCCAGCTTTAACACCTGATAGACTTGCCATGCTCTGATCAGGGGGATAAATGATACTAAAACCCCTTTGATTTCTAGAAACTCTTACCAAAGAGAGTGTGATTTTTTTAAAGTAAACACCAGAACAAGCAATAGTCTTTGCAAGTCAGGAGATCTAGGTTTTAATCCCAGCTCTGCCACTGCTTTGCTGTGTAACTGTGAGCAAGTCATTTCACCTTTGGTGGCCTCTGTCAAGTGGTGGTATTAGACTAAGTGTTCTTCAAGGATCTTTCCAGCAATAATATCCTATGATCTAACATTGTGTTTCCTTTACAACTCTACAATCCCATGTTCTAAGGTTCCTTCCAGCTCCAACATTCAATATTCTGGCATTTTATGTTCCAAAGTTCCTTCAAACTCTGACATTTTTCTTCTAACTTTCCTGCCAGCTCCAACATCCCATTTCCTAAATTTTAAGATCCCTTACAGCTCTGAAATTCAATAGATGAGAAAAAGATAGGTAGGTAGGTAGGTGGATAGATAGAGTGAGCATTTATTATGTACTTAATATATGTTAGACACTGTGCTAAGCACTAGGGATACAAATGCATGTAAGCAGGAGAGTCCCTTCCCTCAAGGAGCTTACATTCTAATGGAGGAAAATGACATAGAAAGGGAAGTTGGAAAGTGAAAAGGGTTGCCACCATCAAGGAGGTATGGCATGGAGCTCAGTTAGTGAAATGGAGCCCTGGCTCTGAGGAAAAGAAATTGAAAGTTCACCAATTAGAGCCCAGGGTGGTTTCAGGGGCAGGTTTCTAAGTTCCCATGGGAAGGAGATGAGGATGATGGCTAAAATAGAGGTAACACCATTTGGGTCTGGTGCCCAAGAAGTTCTGTGTCAGATGGCTTTGACATTCTCTGTTTTAAAGTCCCCTACAGTTTTAACATTCTAGGATTCTATGATGGATCAGTTTCTTTGATTCTTTCATCTCAGAGATTATATGCTGGGTGAGGGGGGAAAAACAGAAATTATGAAGTAGAAATAACATCTATCTCCCCTTTTTTATTCCAGAAATGTAATGCCCAAGACCCTGGAAGGGCAGATAACGATGGAGAAAACTCCAAGTTACTTTGTAACCAATGAAGCTCCCAAACGCATCCACTCCATGGCTAAGGATACCAAGCTGATTGTGGTTGTGAGGAACCCTGTGACTCGGGCAATCTCTGATTACACACAGACTCTGTCCAAGAAACCAGAGATCCCTACCTTTGAAGTGCTAGCCTTCAAAAACCGGACCCTGGGGCTGATTGATGCCTCCTGGAGCGCCATCCGCATTGGGATCTATGCCCTACATCTGGAAAACTGGCTTCAGTATTTCCCCCTGTCTCAGATCCTGTTTGTCAGTGGTGAGAGGCTTATTGTGGACCCCGCTGGGGAGATGGCCAAAGTGCAGGATTTCCTAGGCCTCAAACGGGTAGTGACTGAGAAACATTTCTACTTCAACAAAACCAAGGGGTTCCCTTGTTTGAAGAAGCCAGAGGACACCAGTGCCCCCAGGTGCTTGGGCAAAAGTAAGGGGAGGACTCATCCCAGGATTGATCCAGATGTGATCCACAGACTGCGGAAATTTTACAGACCCTTCAATGTTATGTTTTACCAAATGACAGGTCAAGATTTCCAGTGGGAACAGGAGGAAAATGACAAATGAGGCTAGAAATTCTGGGGAAAGCAATCCGATAGTTTGAGGTGAATCCCTGTGTGAGATGTGAAACTCTCCAGAGGGCTCACGGCCACAGCCTGGGAGCTGGGAAGCTCTCCACCTGTTGGTCAGGTTGCAGGGTTCCTGCCCCTGCCGAGCTGAAACCTTAATGTCCCATCAGTTAGGAGGTCTTCTTTTTGGGTCACTCTCCCTTCAGTTCTCCCTCAAATCTGGTATGTTCATTATCTAGTCAGAAGAGCTTGGGGAAGGAGTAAGTGGGAGATTGCTTTCAGCACAGCCCCCAAAGGCAAACATTGTCTGCTTTTTACAGCCGACACACAATTCACCTGACTCCAGCCAAGACCCAGCACCTTGGTCTTAGCTAGTAGATGTCACAGGCCGGTACGGTATGAGGGCAATCAAGAAGATAACACTCCCGCACCCTGCTCCCCCTCCGCACACACATACACCCTTAGCGAAAGTCATGGTTAAACAGGGGAGGAATTTAGCTTGAAGAACCCCACCCTCCCCCTTGCCAGGGTGTCTGATTCATCCTGTGTTTTGACAGCTCCTTATCCTTCAAATGACCTCATTTCCTTATTCCTCGCACAGGCATATTTAGCCCCTCTGACTAGGAGTCCCCACAGGCTGCAAGTGGCCATTTATAGGGAGGGATGAGGGAGGAATCGTCTGTGCAAAAGACCAAATGGCCCTGGGGAACTCTGACCCCGAGACTGGGGAGGTGAGGCCAGCATGCCAGAGATCTTCAGTTTCCCACTGAAAATCCCCTCCTTCACCCTTGAGGTTGGGACAAAAGAGATGTGTCCCTCACTCAGGGTGCTCTTCGGGGGCCACCTCCTATTAGGGAGAGCATGAATTGCTTCTAGAGAGCTTCCAGGGTGGAGGAACTCCTCTTCCAGTGGGATGGGGAGGTAAGCTTAGCATGCCCTCTCATTTTAGAAGCAGGGGCCTTCCCAAGCAAACTTGATTGTATTGTTCCACTGACAAGCAGCAGAGCGGCCTCTCAGTTCTTGCAAGATTCCTGAAGTAGTTGCAAAACTAAGACTGTCCAATGCTCTTTTGATTGGGGATGAGGAAAAAAGCCAATTTCCCCAGGAAGACAAAGTGTTCCATGCTGCTTCTGGATAGAATTCTCTGAATCTCTTGCTTAATCTGTTGCTCAGGGCCAGGAAGCTATAGCCTGTCACCCACAAGGCATACCCTTCTGCCTCTCCCTTCCCCCCTCCCCCAAGGGACTGTCACATGGGACACATTCATTCCCTGAAACTGGCGCTGCTCATATAGGCTATAAGTAGGTCTCTGGGAACTTCCAGGCCTCAAAGCTACTGGAATTGAGGCAAATGGTACCAGGTAGCTTGGGGAGGGAGGAGAAACCTGTTCTAGCTGAGCCTATCAGGCCAGCTCAGGGCAGACAGCTGGCTATAGTCAGAGGCGAAAGAGCTAACTTCATTTGTCAGACTTTGAGGGGCGGGCCAGGAACGGAAATGTGCACATCAGGTGTGGCTGAATAAAATGTCCGTTCCCATTAGCTTGATTTGATTAAAACACAGCGTTTGACACAAAGCACTTTTCCACAGGCCGACAAAACCAGAAATCATTCCAGTAAAACTGAAAATATGTAGTGGGGATGAGTTTAATTTTTCTCAGATGTTATTAAAATGTCATTTCTCCCGCTAAATGAAAACTGTGTTGTTATAAAAATGGAATGCAACCTGATTAATGGGTTCTGATAGCATTTCTTTTAGTTTCCCCAGTTTCCAATAATCATGCATCCACCCTCCAAGGGGATGGATAGTCCCAGCTGCATTCTCTTTTGGGGCCTGACACCTGCTTCACCTGATGGATCTGGAGACGGCAGAAACAAGGAATCTCTTGGGAATGTTTTACAGAGCCATGCTCAGGGGGAGGATAGAGCCTGAGGCCATAACTTTCTGGGTCCCAGGCAGTTCTGACAAAGAATGGATTTGTGCCTAATTCAGTATATCCAACTGAAACACAGCCTTATGAATGAGAATTATTTTTTCAGACAAGAAAATTCCTATACTGCTGAAGGCAATAGAAACACCTTTATTACCAAAAAGAAGATATAGATAAAATATAAAAAATTAATATATGTAGTATGTGAATATTTGAAAGAAAAAAAAACCTTAAACGTAACAGGGTCAAGAAGTTTGCACTATTAGCGCTCATATGACCCATGATAAAAAAAGATTGCGTCTTCTTCCCTCCTCTTCCCCATTCACTAGCCACTTTTTGCTCTTATGAAATCATCCCCTATTGGAAGAGACGCAAAGGAAGTCAGCTTCTTAGATTTGGGGTGTGGCTAAGGAGCTAAGAGCAATCTAGTCTGGATTAGCCTACCCTAGAGGTAGAACTGGGCTTTCAGTAGTCTTTGACTCTTGCCCAGATGGTAAATAGGGAACTGGGGGTTCCATATGTAACAGGTATCAGGGAGCGTTTGTTTATACAAGATCCCAGCTGCCTTTTTCTCCCCTTCTTGGAGAATCCTCCAATCGGAACCTATAGTCTAGAACTTTTGAGTTGGAAGGCCCCTAAGAGATCATATCCAAGGGAAGAATACTCTCTTTAAATCTTAAACAAGACCCTTCCTTTCTGTGGGCCTCAGTTTTCTCCTCTGTCAAATGTGAATTTGGATTAGATCATGTGCTTACCTTTTTGAAACCCTATGATGCACCCCAGTTGAGTGGTAGGGTCAACTAGTATCCTCACCACATCTGATCCAACTCCCTTCTGCTTACCTATCTGTCCTACCTAGGAAAACATTGTTTTACAAAACAGGGAAAATAATGCATTTGTAATCAGATTTGGATAAGTGTTCCTGAGGAGAGAACCCAGATGGTTTATTGAGACCATTATTTCCCTTGCCTCCTCAGCCTCCCTTCAATCTTGATTTCTACAGAAAAGGTTTTACAAGAAAGTCCATGCTGGACAAGATGTGATAAGGCTGGGGTATTAGATTTGACTCCCAGGGATTAAAAACATGGCCCAGGGTGCTTGTAACTTGTATTGCTTCTTCCTTCCTATACCTCCAAGGATTTCTTCTTTATTTAGGTTATATCCCTGTGGTCCAGGGAAAAGTAAGGTGCTTAGTGACTCAATAAGGCCTTTCCCAGAGTTTGGATGAAGTGAAAAAAAATCCCCCATTATTTTCTGTATGTTGAACAGAAAAGGATTTTTTAAAAAATCAGGTAGCCTGGTCAAGGGCTAACCATCACCTTTTCAGTGACAGGTGAGGTTCCAGGATATAACTACCCTTACCTTATATTTTGTCCTTGAAAACAACTCTGGAAAGGCTTTCTCTCAGCTCCAGAGAGGCAGAAGAACCATTCTTCAGAGATGTCATGTGGGGAGGGAAGAGGGAGATTTATTAATTTTTAAAGCATCCATTTGGAGACATTTTTGAAAGATCCAGATTGCAAAAGGAAATACAAAATTTTATATTGTTTTGTCCTGCTTTCCACATTGTTGACTTTGGTTTCATCTTCCATGGCCCCTAACTGGGATCTGCTGAGGCCAAATTGCTTTTTAAAAAAAAAAGGGACACTTGACAGAAGGAATTATTTCCTAGCTAGGTGGGTGTAGCTCACCTGCAGAAGGAGAGTTGGGTTAATAACTTTTTTTTCCTTTCCTATCTAAATGTCAGCATTGCAACCCACGAGAGATTGGATTTTGCATTTGATTTCAATTAGCAAAGCATAAATTATGTTTAATTTTCTACAAGCTGCGTGGATGATTCACTGTTCTGGAAAGGCTGCTGCTGGGTGGTTCAGGGCTGGGAAATAGAGAATTTAGCCTTCTACACTTTGCTTGCTGCTGACAGTTCAGCCTAACAGGCCTCTTTCTTTCTGTATTATTCTGTACTAGAAGGAGATGACCATCTCAAACTTTAAATCTGAATCAGCCAGCTCTAACAAATAAAACATTGTGGCAGCCACATCTCTGGGCTCCATTGATCATTAGCCTCTTCACATGAACCATGTGTGAAATATAAGCAATCAATAAACTAATCAACAAACATTTATTAAATGCCTATTATATGTCAGGCACTATGCTAGGTGCCAGTTATGAAAAGACAAAAATGAAATAGTCCCTGCCCTCAAGGAGCTTATGTTCTGGGTGAAGTCCCTGACAATCAGACTCTAGCCCAGGAGTTCATAACCGTCTTCTTTTTTTTTTTTAATTTTGGACACCTTTGGCTATTGATCCTTTCTCATGGATCCCTTCTAAGAATGTTCTTAAATGCATACAGTGAAATACATGGGATTACACAGGAAGCCAATTTTATTGAAATAAAAATGTATTTTTACCTATCTAAATTCAGGGACTACCTGAAATCTATCATCAGATCGTAGGAAAAGACTTTCTTCATAAAGCTCAACACAGTAGATCTGGATCTAGCCAACCTGTCACCTGGGCATGCAGCCTCTGAGGAGATACTTAGATTTAAGAGTACTCTTATTTTCCAAAAAGCAGCTGAGTGTTGGAAGTAAAAGAAAGAGGAGGGGTAATAGCGTTGGAGTTTGCGTGTCCTGCTCCCTGTCAACTCAGTTTCAGCAGACATATAATAGAAGACACACTGGAGAGAGTGTACCTAGCCATTGCATCTTGGTTTTTGCTATTTTCTATCTTTGATATTAACATGAACCTACTATGTGCAGGCCACTGTGTTATGCCCTGAGACAGTTACAAAGAAGAATAAGATATGAAGACTACATCTGTCAAAGAGCTCACAGTCTAATGGGCAGATAACACACAAATAAGATATATACGTGATAAATTGGAAATAATCACAGAGAGAAGGCAATGGAAAATGTCATTGAGGAACAGATCTGCTAGGATTGAGATAATTCCAGTTCAGCCTGTGTCGTGATCTCTAGTCCCTAGGCATTCCTATCCATGTCTCTACTCCACCTCTTCTTGGTAACACAACTCATTGGAAGAGGTAATGAAATTACACTAAAAACTCA